CACAATCTGGTAATTGTCCTTTGCGTAAAGAGGTCCTGGGAAGTGAACTGCCGTGACTTTGAATGGTCGGGAATGGAGGCATGTTTTGAGTGGCCAGCCTACAGTTATTCCTCTTGCAGACGACACATCTGCTCAGAACTCTTTTCACTGCTTGTCTACCCTGCAATATCCAGAACTTAGTTCGAAGTTGCGCCAGCGTCACTTGAACTGATCTTTGTGATACTGTTTTATGCACGTGACGTATTAGAATTTCCATGAAATGCCCATCCTTTGGAATTACTATCACGTGCCTGCTGAATTTTCGGCTGCGTTGCAATCGTCTCTTCTGTCTGATGATTCCATCGTCATCAAGGTAGGCTTCGTGTCTATTGATTTCAAATGATGAGCGCTTGAATGAGCCTCACCCTTTGACTGTCTCAGTGATACTTGAGTCTGGCTTATCTAATACTTCTCTGCATTTGTTACCTCTTTTCCTGTCAACTGTACATTGTGATTTTCTCTTCTTGGGTTATCAATGAATCTGAACACCCATGCTGTCACTCTTACAGGCCATCCGTAAGATGAATACCTTTCGATTTGCAAGATTGGTTCAATTTCGGCTCTTCCCATGCATTGGTGACATTGTGTTTTATGCTGATCTTCCACGTCTGTATTCGTGCGAATCATGCTTGCGGTGTTCTTTTCCAGTGATGTTATGCATTGGGGACCGTTCCACCATAACTTAACTTTGAGTTTATCAACGCCTTTGCGATTAGTCCTCGTGTAAGTAGGCCAGCAGGATTGTCGTCGCTTTGAACAAATGACCAGCTTGCTTGAAATGTTTTTTTTTCTGGTTTCTGCGATTCTGTTGGTAACAAACGAGTACCTTTTGCTTGTTCCCTTGATCCAGTGAAGCACACTCATCAAGTCCGCCCAGCAGTATATTTCCTGAAATCTTTTGTTGAAGTGACCTTTGATGTAGTTGCATAATCTTGATGCTAGCATTGTGGCCATCAGTTCGAGTCACGCCTATGTCCACTCCTTAATTGGAGCTACGTGGCTTTTCGCTGTTACCAGGCTTGATTCTTTGCTTTCATCGTGGTATTTTGCTATTTGGTATGCTGCCACTCCGTATGCTCATGGGCTCACGTTGGCAAAAACATGCAGCTTGTATGCTTGTACTGGTTGGTTTTTGCTCGCGTAGCATCTGATGATTTCTAGAACTTTAAAGTCCTCTGCTTCAGACATTAGGCTCCTCTATTTGTTGCATTTTTCTTTAGGGAGCTGGTCGTCACGTGTGACGTTCGTTTTCCACTGTCTCTGCAGTCTTATTTTTGCGCGTGCTGTAAACGGTCGCAATAAACCGAGCAGGTCAAATATCTTCGCTGTAGCTTGTAACATGGCCATTTTTGTCAAGTACGTTGTATCTGTTAATAATTCACACTTTCCAACTAGGAAGGAAATCATGTCCCTAGGATGTTTTCATATCAAGCCCAGAAGCAATGTACATCCTTTAGTTCGAATCTCCGTGTGAGAATCGGCGCTTTCGTTTTCATCTATTAATTTCTTTATTCGCTCTTCATTGGAGGTCCCTCTTCTCAAATTTATCGCTGCCACTCTGAACACTTGCTTTGCCTATTTGTACAAATTGACTGCCTCATAAAAGTTCCTGCTCCCTGAATGACGTCATCCACGCAGATTGCTTTCTGCAGTGTCCTTGTCGTATCAGGTAACCAGTCTTCCACTTGTTTCAAATGGTGCCTAATTTTAGCTGCCAGGATAAACGTGCTTGGTGTTGTTTCAAGCGTTATTTTTGTCATGCGCCATGTTTGCACTTCATTCATTACCCTTCCCTGAGCGTCATGCTTCCACCCAGAAATCTCATTGCATCTCTACCCTCTTCGTGTAAAGAGATTTGTAGAATTGCCTTTTCAAAATATCCTACTAATGCCACCTTTATTTACGGAAATGAATGAGCAGCTATAGCATGTACTCATTCAAATTGGGTTCTGCCTCTAGGTTATCCTTTTTAAAATTGAACTGCACCAATAAATCTGGTGGAATCACTCTTTTTAATACTCGTAACAACATCGGCGCATAGCACTTCGTTTCTACTTTTAGTGACTTGAGTTCCAATATATTAACTTGAACTCTCTGTAGAAGCCCATTTGTGTCATCGGTATCTTGCGCAGACCTTACTTTCTGCAAACTTAAGAGCTCATTCATGTGCATCTCAAATAAATGTTCGAGATTTCCAAATGTATGATTTTCAAGATTTCCAAGCATATTAAAAAGCACTATAAAGTGTGAGGGCGTCAATGAAGTTCTCTCTGTCTTTATATATCGCGGCTGACGAGTCAGTTAGGTTTGCCCCCCAACTCGTGAAACAGTTCGTACGCCATCGATCACCATACATTTGATCTAGCTAACGCTGTAGATATCATGTAGTTGATATTCTGAAATCACTAGTTGTAATTGTAAAGTAAATGTGAAGAAAGGACGATGAGCAGTAGGTTTTAACGTCCCAAAACCACCATAAGATTATGAGAGACACCATAGTGGAGGGCTCCGAAAATTTTGACCACCTGGGCTTCTTTAACGTGCACCCAAATCTGAGCACACAGGCCTACAGCATTTTCGCCTACATCGAAAATGCAGCCACCAAAGCGGGGGTTCGATCCCGTGACCCGCGGGTCAGCAGACGAGTACCTTAGTCATTAGACCACAGCGGCGAGGCAATGCGAAGAAAGGAAAGTGGACCTAAAGCAAACTTGCCGCTGTCAGAGAGCGAACTTGCGATCTTCAAATAACACATCCTCTGCTTCATCAACTGAGCTACAGTAGTGATTATCTTCCCGTCCACTTTTATGAGGCATATATGTGAATGTGCAGTGTCAGTGAGCACCGCTAGCAGCCAGATGGTGTGAGTGAACACTCTTTTCCTGCCTATTGGCGTCACGTAGAACGTGATCCTATTGCACGTTACAAAAGAGAAATGAGCCCTTCAATTTCCCCTTTTTTACTTCATTCATAGCGAGGGTCTCACTCTGGTATACTTGATGCATCCAGGTAGTATGCGAGATATTATTCGTCGGCTGTCAACTCCTAATAAGATCAAGTGCTTCGTGACGTGTTCCACATTCTTTGTAATCGCCAGTAGCAGCGCTGACTATCTATCTATCTATCTATCTATCTATCTATCTATCTATCTATCTATCTATCTATCTATCTATCTATCTATCTATCTATCTATCTATCTATCTATCTATCTATCTATCTATCTATCTATCTATCTATCTATCTATCTATCTATATCTATCTATCTATATCTATCTATCTATATCTATCTATCTATATCTATCTATCTATCTATCTATCTATCTATCTATCTATCTATCTATCTATCTATCTATCTATCTATCTATCTATCTATCTATCTATCTATCTATCTATCTATCTATCTATCTATCTATCTATCTATCTATCTATCTATCTATCTATCTATCTATCTATCTATCTATCTATCTATCTATCTATCTATCTATCTGCCTGCCTGCCTGCCTGCCTGCCTGGCTGCCTGCCTGCCTGCCTGCCCTGCCTGGCCTGCCTGGCCTGCCTGGCCTGCCTGGCCTGCCTGGCCTGCCTGGCCTGCCTGCCTGCCTGCCTGCCTGCCTTCACATGTATATCCCGTAAGAGTGAACGTCGCTGTAGCTAAGTTGGTAGAGTATTGAAAGCGTTTTTCCAAAGTCATCTGGTCGCTGCCAGCGGCAAGTTATCTTCTTGTCTACTTTTCGATCTTCACACATAATGGTTATCTTTTTTTTCTATTTTTCTATCTTCCCACATACAAGTGATATTTTTGTCCACTTTTCTATCTTGACACATCGAAGTTATCTTTTTGTCTACTTTTCTATCTTGATATATACAAGTTTTCTTTTTGTCTAAGTTTCTATCTTGAAACATACAAGTTATCTTTTTGTCTACTTTTCTATCTTGACACATACAAGTTATCTTTTTGTCTACTTTTCTATCTTGACATATGCAAGTTTTCTTTTTCTCTACTTTTCTATCTACGTATATACAAGTTATCTTTCTGCCTACTTTTCTATCTTCACATATACAAGTTATCTTTTTGTCTACTTTTCTACTTTTACATATAGAAGTTATCTTTTTGTCTATTTTTCTATCCTCGCATATACGTTACAATCACTACTAGTAACACCTTGTACACTTTTCTTGGCATTAATGCCTCTTGTTCTCATTATTCTCTTTGCTTATCTATATGGCGTCTTCCTATGTTTATTATTCTTATCCCGACACAACGCGATGGTAACTGGCAATAGTGAAAAACAGCATAGCGAAATGGCTTCAGGTTTTGGCAGACCTTTCAAATCAACGCAACTTCCATTTTCGTTTCCTGTTGCGCCAAATGGCCGAGTTCAGTAATAAGAGCAGCGTGTCAAACGCCCACAAAGTTAGGGTTATAATTCATAAATTAAAAGTAACAATGTAAAACTAGTATAAAAAGGCACTGTTTGCTCCACCATTTTCAAGATTTCAAAGCAGTGCATATGTTATAGTTTGGGATGTCATACCTTCAAGAATGCCCCCCCCCCTTCTACGCCAAGAAGAAAAAAAGAATTAACGGTACTATTTGCGAGATCTGTGAAATTCAATTAGGATACGTACCATAACAAGAAAATTTGTGATCTGAAGATCGTCGCTTCACTGAATCAAACGCATAACAGACATTAGAAATAATGGACAGTGCACGTACGATCTCTCAGACATCGGTAGGCCTATGTATGAAGGTTCTTCTTTCAAGATATTTTGTTTAACATAGTATAGTATCTTCCTGCCTTGAATTTTGCTTGTGGTGTTCATCAATAATTTGTAAAACTTCTTAAACTAACTTTAGAGTAATAAAACGGGGGAATACTATCTTCACTCTTTGACTGGGGAAGTCGTACATAAAACCTTATCAACGCAAACGATCTAAACTATCTATTGTTCTCTTCCAGATGCTTTGCTCGGTGGCTGCCACAGGTAAGGCAATGCCTAAACGTTTTGGTCATTTTTCGCTTAAAAGAACCGCAGCATACAACACAAGTAAACAACCTGTTCATAAAGTCGGTAGGCTTTTGAAATAATGGACGGATAAAGGCAGCCGTCTGGCGCATAAGGGCCCTAATGTTAATTTTGTGTAGGGGAAACATCTCGACTTGGTGGCCAGTCCTGTGTAGAGCGACCTAAATATTTTTTTCTATAAAAGTCTGCCAAAGTTTTTTTCTGCTTTTTTTGCACTCTATTTGTGAAATCTTTTATCTTGTTACAAGCTAAGATCACAAAGATTCGCTGCTTCTATGACACAACAACTACTCCAACTCGTCGCGGCCCCAGCAGAGTGTTCTAGCGCCGTGAATAGTAGGAGTGGCCTCATTTTGAGCTATCAAGAGCACATTTAATGTGCTATTGCGCTAGCTGGTTCGAAAGTGTGATCTATGGCTATGCAAGGACATGAATATGCTTTTCTAACGTCTCACCTTAGTAATAACCTTAGCGTACCGTATGCTCTTGCAGATATGCGGCTTCCCGGGTCACCTCAGTGACAGTATGTGTTGCCATTGATTTATCTAGAGATAACTGGCTACCTAACGAACAACAATACCGACATAGTCATTAAACAGCCTACACTAAAAGGACAAAAAATGGGATGAAGTGTAAAAAAACACAATCATCCAGAGAGTCATGTTTATCATAGCTTGAAGTTTCAGTGGGTACACGATTGTCGTTTAAAGTAATTTCCATTATTTCACTGGATATAGTTCTAAGGCCGATGATGGTTCAGATGCATCACTTTACCACAGGAGACGGCAGTGTAGGCAGCCTGAGCGCCGCCCTCGTGGGACCGGACACGGCCGTGTTGTCCTGGATTCAGCCGGCTAGTGGAGCCGACGGATACGAGCTGCGCGTGATGCGTGGCTCTGCGCTTGTCTTCGCCCAGCAGTTCACGCTTGATTCGGTCACAAAGGCCGAAACCGTGCTGTACTATAGACTTACTGGGCTTCGGCCAGCCACCACGTACAACGTGTCAGTGACTGCCATACTGGCAGGCCAGCAGGGTCCAGCCACCAGCGTTGTGTTCACCACAGCTCCCTTGGGTGAGGTGTTTCTTCCTGCATTTTTTTTTTTCTAGCAAGGTCGAAGCCAGCGTCTTGAAGTCTCATGTGCGTAAAGACATGCTTTTGGAGTTTATAGCTTTTGATTTGTCGGGCGAGACTAAACATTTTATGTGCGGCAATACAAACAAGTTAAAAAAACTGCCCTTATTGTGAAGTGTAATTATCGTTAATTAAACAGCTTAGAAAATACCACCCAACGCTTGGATTCCCCCTTATGCGACTTGAATGAGAAGAGGTTGGTATATTCTATATTGAAATACGGTCATGCCTGTTTCACCGGACGTTTTCTATGCAGAGATACAAACGGCTGAAAGGAGATTGTTTTGATATATGTACATGAAGAATTAGCCGAATTTGTTCTCCTGAGAGGTAGTTCTCATTCCAACACCTTAAATAGATAGAGTGATAGATGGAGAAATAGATAGATAGATAGATAGATAGATAGATAGATAGATAGATAGATAGATAGATAGATAGATAGATAGATAGATAGATAGATAGATAGGTAGATAGATAGATAGATAGATAGATAGATAGATAGATAGATAGATAGATAGATAGATAGATAGATAGATAGGTAGAGAGATATGTGGGGTGTAACGTCCCGAAACCATCATATGGTTATGAGAGACGTCGTAGTGGAGGGCTCCGGAAATTTCCACCACCTGGGGTTCTTTAACGTTCACCCAAATCTGAGCACATGGGCCTACGCACTGCAGCCGCCACAGCCGAGATTTAATCCCACGATCTGCGGGTCAGCAACCGAGCACCTTAGCCACTAAACCACAGCAGTGAAGTCATTACAACACCTTGAAAACATTTGAAACAAGCGGTAATTTAGTAAAACGTCAGCATGGTTATAGCGTTCAAGTCATACTAACGTCACCTTTAAACAATTCATTTAGAAAAAGTTAGCACAATCCAAATTTTAACTGTGCTCATTTCTTCCGAGGGTGCAGTGCATCTTGCCGTTACTACATCCTCCGCATCACCCGATGGCCTTGTAGAAGGTGGTTGGTATAAACACTTGGCCATTACTAAAACACTGGTTCTTGCACAAGCACGAACGCAAAACCCAAAGTGCAGTTCGCGTTTTGCGAGTGCGATGTGGTGGCGTAATCTCTCACAGCCCTTTTCAAAGAAGATCACATTTTATATCTTTCAAGTCAATGGGACTTCTTCCCCAGAACTATCCGTAAAAAGCTTTGATAGATGTCGCATTGAACAAGCATGAACCACGCATCTCAATACAACCTCGAAAATATACACATATGCAAATTTTCTCTCCGGTAGTCTGTAAATAATGCGATACCGCTGCGTTTGTGCCATGCCTACAAAGCTGTTCAAAAAGCCCCGCCACCGTGGTCTAGTGGCTAAGGTACTCAGCTGCTGACCCGCAGGTCGCGGGTTCGATTCCCGGCTGCAGCGGCTGCATTTCCGATGGAGGCGGAAATGTTGTAGGCCCGTGTGCTCAGATTTGGGCGCACGTCAAAGAACCCCAGGTGGTCGAAATTTCCGGAGCCCTCCACTATGGCGTCTCTCATAATCATATGGTGGTTTTGGGACGTTAAACCCCACAAATCAATCAAAGCTGTTCAAAGAACTGCACAAAACAGTAGTAAAATTCATCTAAGCAAAAAAAAAAGAACGCTTTTCTGAAAATTTCTGAAAACTCGTTCGAACCGTAGAAGTAAGAGATTGTACTTTTTTCGAAAATGTACTAGTCATAAATCTTAATGCGCTGTGTACATACTGTTGCCACCATTTTCAGGTGCCAGTTTTGTTCGTGCTTGCTAAATCAATGTGCATGATCATCAAGTAGCACTCGTCTGGACAGTAATCGTAACTTAACATAATGCACTGTGCAAACTGTCAGTGATTTGGCCAGCAGAACATTGCCTGGTAGTAATTGACATCTTTATTGCCTTAAGAATGGTCGGGCCAGCCACAGTGGCTTTGCATGGCTTCCCTAGTAAAACCATACGCCGAGACTCGAAGGAGCAGCAATTATCGCAAACTTTCATTTACAGTAGGAAGAAAACACACACGCACACCGATTTGCTGCGGATTTATGGCGTTTCTTGAAAGTCAAATTGATAGGCCTTTGTAAAGACGTCACAACACTTGCCTGTAACCTTCGACGCCAACATGCTTTATTTGTGCTAAAGGTAAACACCAATGTCTCTATGTAGCACTTTTCATCTGTGAATTATAATATGTGAAAAAAGGCTACGAAGTGCTATATGAATTACGATATGGGTCGTTCGTATAACACTGCCAGGCATTATTAAAGCAACTTAAGAAAAAACACGGACACATGGCAAAGAAGAGCACCGTCTGTGCTTGTATTTGTTTTCTGGGGTTCGTTACTAATTGTGCTACTAGGATACCTAGTGAAGTGCTGTTGCTGCTTGAACGAACAGAAAAAAAAACTAGTTAGAAAGGCCAAACTAAAAAAATATCTCACTAATTTCAGTAGGTGCCACCTCTCACTGACGGTGCCTAATTTCTTGCTACCTATTTAACAAAAAGCATGACTAATCCCATGTACAGTCGGTGTTGATGACATGAGAAGCATGAATGAGTATGTTATGCCACTCTAAACTCACCACATTGTTACGGGGTGCATAAATGTACACAGTAAACGCAAGTGGAAATGTTATGCGCACTCAGGTACCTGGAATAGATGCAAGTATGCAGTTTATAGCCGCCTAACGACAGCACCGTTAACGTTTACAATACCAGCCTCAGCTGTTGTAGGTATGTAAATTATGCCGTGCATGTCTTCCATGTTTGCACCAGTCATTTACCTTCGACATTCATTCACGTCACGTAATACCAAATTTGGCATATATGCAACTAGCGAAACGGCCGCGAGCACGCTACGAGCGTAGCATGTGGTTATGTTTTACATGACACGCATGTCTTCATTATCATGTTTGGATGTGTTACTTACCTTTGTCGTCCATTCACGTCACGTAATGCCAAATTGGGTATATGTGAAGCTAGCGAAACGACCGTGAGCACATCAAGAGTGAGGCATGTAGTCATTGTCCTATATGAAAAGCATATCATCAATATAGTGTTTGCACGAGTCATATACTTCGTCCTTTGTTCACGTCAGGTATTACCAAATTTCGAATATGCGAAGCTAGCGAAACGGCCGCGAGCGCATCATGAGCGTGGCATGTAGTCGTGTTCTTACATGACACGCATCAGATGATTATCGTGTTTGCACACCACGGACCCAAGCTAACGAGGGGTGGTGGTTTGACTCCCTCCCATGCCTAGCCGTGCGAGGCTTTGCTGTGTCCCGGGAAAAGGGGATCCTGGGCGTTGAGCCGACGCTGGGTGATTAGACCTAGAAGCCCCCCCCCCCTCCCGGCATAGGCAACACATCCCCTTGGCCCCGGCTTCACGTAGACGGCACCCCTGGCCTGACCCACCAAGAAAAAATTGGCAGTCGCCTTTTCCTGTCTCTCCCTTCTTACATCTTCGTCTTTTTCTCCCACTTTTTATCTGTCCTGTCTCCTTCTCTCTTCCGTTTACTTCCAAATTTCCTGGCGGCAAGGGTTAACCTTGTGTGGATACTCAGTCTCAGCTATTCCATGTTAGGTTACAGCAGCGCTGTACAGCTGGCGTCGACAGTACTTGCCGAGCCTTTCCTGCCACGTCCACTGGTTGGGCTCGGTGGCGGGCGGCTGGCACCGCTGCTGAACTTTATAGTCGATTTATGGCAAATTCTCCCCCCCCCCTCATAATCGCTCCCTGAAAAGGTGGCGCACTGAAGACACACTCATGCTCAAAACACCAAAACCGACCTTCCCAAAATACCATGTTATTCCTAGCCAGAACGAAAAGAAGACAGCACGTGCAATATGACCTTTTCTTGAGTCAAAAACTCTCACCGAAGCAATAGGTCCAGGCTATAAAGTCTCAAAGATGGGAAGTGGCGATTTCTTACTGGAGGCTCATGACAAAGCTCACTATGAGAAGCTGTCTAAACTTCTAGCGTTTGGAGAAACGCTTGTTTCTGTGGACCCACATAGGTTCATGAACACTGTCCACGGCGTCATTTCTGATGATGATATTCTTCAACTCTCAGAAAGTGAACTATTAGAAGGCTCGCAAGACGAGAATGTAGTCAAGGTACAGAAAATTATTATACGACGAGACAAGAAATAAACACCAACCAAACACATAATTGTCACCTTCGGTACCAGTAACTTACCAGAATCAATTGAAACCGGCTACTGTAAGCTCCGTGTAAGACCATATATCCCCAATCCTCGTCGGTGTTTCAAAAGTTAACGTTTCGGGCATGGATTACAGAGTGACAGAGGGCGTGCTACTTGCGCAAAATGTGCATCCATTCAACACATATCGGATGATTGCCCCTCAGAAGAAACTCATTGTTCGAACTGTGAAGGAAATCACCCTGTATACTCACAATCATGCCCCACATGGAAAAAAGAGAAACAAATAGTAGAACTCAAGGTCCAATTCAATCTGTCACTCCAAGTGGCCCGTAAACGTTTTTCACTGCACAACTCCTCTAATTCCTTCTTTGCAGATGTGACGCGCCGGGGCGCCGCGTCACATCTTCCTGCACCAGCGAATGTCACGCAGAGTGTGGCCGCGGTCGGGACTACAATGCTCGTGGCTGGAGCAGCCTGTACTGCTCCGCCACCCGACAAACAGGGCCGACAGACCCCCGTGTCTGCTGAACCTCAGACCACTGTAAGCACGCTTAAGTCCAAATTTTTTGTGATTGAGCCAGCCGAGCAGGTACCACCCACCACCTCACAAGAGGTAATGGATACAAGTATGACTCCACCGGTGCCTCAGACGCGGAAGGATAGGCACAACTTTTGGAGCGTGCCGTGAAAGAAAAAAAAAACCCCAATTTACAGGGCCCCCAAAATTCTCTGTAACCTAAGGCAACACTTTCGCACACACAGCACCACACAACACTAAAT